AAACCCCTAAACCCTAAGCTCTGAACCCTAAACCCTATACCCTAAACCCAATAATGCAGGATTTATGTCATCAACCGCGTCATGCCTGGAGCTCCCAGGCTTTCCAGACCTTCCCAGTGCCTGCATCAGCAAGGCCCCATCGAATCAGTCGTCCCACTTCTCCAATTTGCTGCAAACTGTCCATGGCATTCCAGGACGCCAAAAGGCCCGACCTGGGGTCGAAAATCAGTGCCTGCAGCTCTTCGTTGAACTGGTCGATGTTCCTCTCTTCTTCAAGAACCAAGCTTAGGGTTTAGGGCTTAGGGTTCAGGGTTTAGAAGTTTAGGATAGTTCTAATATATAAGGCCAAAAAGTTTAAAGTTCTCCTACTGGCTATCTAAGGTTCGTGCTGCTCTTGATCTTGTCGAGTATGATCTTCTTGTCCATGTCGGAGGATGCACGCATGCTCAGAACGTCCAGGTTCTTCAATGTTCCCGCTCGTTGGTGGAGGGTCGCTTTGGATGCAAGCTTGAGCGATTGCTTCATTTGCAACCGCCTGGCTTCTGCAATTTCGGCAACACACCACGCACGGTTAAACAGCTCAAGATGTTGGTCCACTGCAATTACTTGCCTGCAGCTTCCTGTGGCAGCCAGGTGATGCATCATGTCATCGAACTTGTTGATCTCTGACGCTGCACTTCTGCCCCCCGGATCTCCGACGTTTATGCTCTTGCACTTGCATTCCGGGTACAACTCGTTTGTAAATGGGTCCCGGTCGTAAGGGTTGTGGTGACATATGCTAGTATGCTGGTTGACCGCAAACGCGCAAATCCAGTAGCTGTCGTCCAGGCGAGCGCTCTTCTGCAGCATCTCAGACAGGAGGTCGTCGTCTTCCTCCAGCAGCTTTGCTGCCAAATTGAAACCTCGGCTGCTGAGCAACCCACGGGAAACAAGCATAAACCTGTTTGGGGTTGGTTCTGTTGTAAATGGATCCCGGCAACCAACAAGCGCAAAAAAACAACAAAACTGTATACCCACAACCCTAAACCCTAAACCCTAAACCCCCAAAAACGAAAAAAAAAAACTGTATACCCAGAGACGAGCCTAGAGTCTGCATTCTTGCAGAGCGTCCGAGATGACGGCGGCCAGCAAATCCCTGAAGTTGTTACCCCAGTTGTGGGTCACCATGACCTCCTGGGTTGTACCCATCATAGGCCCCTAAGTAATTCCTTTTTGGGATTACCTTATAGGATTCTAAATATCAACCACAAAAAGGAACTACTTACCTCTATAGCAACCATAAGGGAAATTTTAAAAGTTTCCCAAATTGACACCTAGCCTCAGCCCGTCGGGCACCGTCCCTGTTGAGTCGCGAAGCTGCATATGCCTAGGTTCCCCAGTAGCCCCTTAGTAACCTTTTTTCCTAAGGCTCGGCTTTAATAAGGGAACCCAAAAAGAAAAAGGGCAAAAGGGTGCTACTGGGGAACCTAGATGCACATTCTTCCTCAGATGTGAGGGGAATGATCACCTGGCGCACCACATCTCTGGTCCTGTGAACCTTGGGCTTATATCCCCCTGGCATGCGGCGAAGGTCTTCCCGAAAAAACTCCAAGAGGCTGCGCAGGGTCATTCCTCGCAGCGAAAGCTCCTCAACTTTGGCTCGCCATTCGGGTCCCCAGGCCGCCTCGCTGGAAGGAGGCCTCTCTTCTTCAACAAAAAAGGGCCCCCAAAAAAGTTCAAACCTTTTTAGGATAGCCCTAATATATAAGGCCAAAAAGTCTAAAGTTCTCCCGTTGGAAACTTTTTTAGGATAGTCCTAACATATAATGCCAAAAAGTTTAAAGCTCTCCCATTGGCTATCTAAGAGGCTCAAGGGATTCTGACTCATGCCTGCAGCAAGACATGCATTGGCTGACCTGGCTGGGCTGCACGTCTCCGGAGTGGCTGTCTGCTGGCAACCTGTGGCTGCCCGAGAGCAGCAAGACAGCAACAGCATTCCCCAGGAAGTCCACGGCCTGAATCGAAACCAGAATGTATGCCTCCACAGACGGTAGCATGCACGAGGTGTTGAGCTGAAACAGCGAGATAGAAAGGGCCGCAAAGGCCAAGATGGTGAACATGAGACTGGACGACACACCTGGGACTTTCCGAAAATTAGGGTTCCTTATAATAAGGATCCTAATTATTTAGGGTACTTAATCAGGACCCCTTGTTTTCGGAAACCCCCACCTATGACTTGAACAGCAGCTAGCCTTCGGGCCTGTCTCAGCGAGGACCTCACAGCAACTGAGGCGCCATCAAGCCTGGCAGCATGCAACACCCTGCGCAGCTGTAGGTAAGAGTAGGTGAGAGCAAAGATGGCCACCATGCTGGCCACCATGTTGCATAGCCAGCTTAACAGCGATGTCAGAGATAAAGAAGCTGGCAATACAGCAGTCGGAGCATAGACAAACGAGTCGGACAGCCGCTGTGCCGCGAAGGCACAGGCTAAAAGCGCGTTAACCACGAAGTTGAAGACCTGCACCCAAATGATTTTCCAAATGCAGGCGCTGCAATAGTTCATTTGTGAGGATTGCTCCAGAAGATCTAGCCGTGCAGCGATGAGTACTTGCATCCAGATCAGGACAGCGCCATAGAGAACCGTCCGGATGCAATCAACAGCTACGATCCAGTACAATCTCAAGCCGTGGCCGTATATGATGACGCCACGGTTGCAGTCATCTGTGTTCAGGAAGGATATCCCACAGAACGCGGATTGAAGAGAGTTCACGACTGCATATCCAAAGGCCCATCCGGCATGACTTGAAGCTCGAATCCTGTTGTAGAGAAACGCTGCCACACAACTGGCTCCGAACGCCGCCAACATCATGCACAAAAAGAACAGCTTGTCAGCCGGTGAGCACGATGTGCTCTCAAGCTTCTGGGAATCAAAAGGAAACAGCAACCCCGTAGCTGTGGCGTTCGCCGAGAAGGCCAGTATGTATGATAGCCACCACTTTGGAGGCTTCTGAAAACCATTTAACCGGCTGGACCACACCGAAGTTTCAGAGGTCTCATCAGAACTCTCTGACGTTGACTCTTCCATGCTTAGAGTTTAGGGTTTGTGAGGGTTGGGGGTTTATGGTTTAGGGT